ATCACCACACCACCGGGCTCCAAGCCACTCATAGGGAAGCGGATTGGAATGGGTTCGCAACCGAAGCCGCGAAGCCAACGGCAGTCTCCGGTTTCGGAGCCAACCGCGTGCCAGGCTCTGCTCCAAGAGTTGCGCTTTGCAGGGGAGGCCCCCGCAGAAACGAGATCGGATCATCGGATCGGTCAATACTCCGGAGAGTTGCGGGACCGGGCAAACCCCCCCTCTCTATTTTTCCGCACACCCCCACGGTTCTTGCGGTGAAGGTCTGGTTGATGTACTTGCCATTAATACTTTTAGGCCTTAGAACCGAAGTATCCTTTGAGTGGATTGAACGACTTGCCTCTCAGGCATTGGATCAGGTTTCGTGTCAAGGTGCAAGGACAAAGAGATTGGATTGGTGCGAGGACAAAGGTACCTTTGCCAAGAACTTCAGGCTGGAGTTCTTGTTTGGAGGCCTTCAAACATTGGCAGACTTCGGCCGCGCGCGGGCGCAAGGCTGTGATGGACTATCAACAACTTCCACTTCATGAGTTTGGGAGAGAGGGGAACTCACTAACTCTTCCAGGTCCATTGCAGGAACTGCATGTGTATTTGCCATTCTTATACTGGCACCTTGGGCATGGTTCCTTGGCGCAAGTGTCACCTGCCAGGTGCAGCGGAAGCTTGCCCTTTCAAAGGCGCGGATCCGCGTTTTTTTTTTTTTTTTTTTTTTTTTTTTTTTAAATGGGCGATGGAAACACCACCCCAAGCGCACCTCTGGTCTATTGCAGTCTTTCCCAAGACGTGTGTTTGGAGGGGCACCTGGGCGCTGTCCCCACGATGTCAGGAGTCTAACTTTGGATTTAAGCGGAGGACCCTAGTCAAAAGAGCCCCCTGGATCAGTTCCTGAAAAGGTGAACCACCCTAGTGCGATCTCCAGATCAATCCGAAGTGGACCACTGCTGATGTGGCAAGTGCATGGTTGACAACCTACGTTCCCTCGCCCAAGGCAGACAGGGGGTTGTGCGACAACACTCGCGGTCCATTCAGGCAGCAGCTCCTTCCATCATGAGACAAATTGTTTTGTTGGTTTTGCTGCTTGGCATGACCGGCCATGAGCTTGACACATCTTCTGTTTGATTGGCAACCAATGCACATGAGCTTGTCCTACTGGTGAACACCTCTCAGTGGTTCCCTTTTTGATTCTCCTTTTTATTCACAACTCAACGGGTCCGAACATAGGGATCCCGCAGGCCAACTCCAAAAAGGGGTCCAAAGAAAGACACCCCCCAAATGGGTGTGTGTCAAAATTGGGGCCTTTTTGGCTTCCTTTTAAACAACCTGAAAAGACTACCGAGCCTCAAACAAAGACAGTCCCATGTGTCAACATAAGGATATGGATTCCAACCCAAAAGAAGGCTACCCTCAAATAAGCACATCCGAAATCGAATTCCTTTGAGGCAGATGCGACCCGCAAGACGGCGCTGCGCATGTGCGTGGCAGGGGCCTGGGTTTTGGACACGACTCGATTTCGGCTTTGAAGTAGTGAGGCTGTGAAAAACAGGATTCGGCTTGAAAACACGGTTTTGTGGCCACTATCTCGGAGTGGCCAAGGTAATCTAGTGGGAATGAGCCATGTTTGCAGCACAAGGGTGCTTTTTCCACATGCTCACGCCTTTCATCCTTGGTCTTTGAGGGGTGTTCCTTTGGAGTCAACCGAAAAACGAGTGCCCATTCTTTGCCATCCACGGGGCTTCATTTCGACACCCTGGGCCTCGGTTTGTTATAAACTCAGACCCCATTTCAGGATAGCACCATTGGGAAGAAACCGGCCAAGTATCGGCCAGCCAATTTTCTGTTTGTTTCACACGGCGGGGGAGGGGGGAATTGGCCAGGTTCTTGGAATAGTAGACTTTGCAGTTTTTGCGGCATCCGCGCGTTGCGGATTCCACAAAAAGGGAAGCAGCAAGTCTCCGACTGCGATCACCGGGCGCCACATTGAGTGCCCCACTTGAGCCTGTGGTTCTTGATGCGTTCTTTCCTGCCATTTGCTTGAAGAGGACATGAGGCATGGTCCAGACAGGCGCCATTGTTCGGGCGCCATGCCATGAACTCACAGGGGTGTTGGCATTTTGGAAGCCCTTATTTTTTCAAGCCACAGGCGTTTTTCTGAGAGAAAGACACACCATCGAGGACGGTCTCTTCAAGGAGAAGAAGCAGGTCTTGCAGGTGGGCTGGACATGGTGTTTGCGCCTTCCTTTGAACCTCAGCATGGATCTGGCGCCCAAATTGGTGGACATACCTACCCTCCCTCCAACAATCCTGCAAGCTGACAAGAGGGTTTTGGAAGACGACTTTGCTTGTGGGGAAGCTACCTATCCTCTTCCATAATTGTTGGATACGTTCCCAAATGAGCCACAATCAAAACCTGGGCAGATGAAGGTTAAGGTATAGTTATAGTCCCCTTGCCATCAATGAGTGCGGATCTCCGCCTTTGTAGTTCTTTACATGGTTCTGGGTAGACCGTTTCAATACCAGGTTTTGATTACGACTCAAGCGACATTCTCCAAACAGTCCCCCAGAAAGGCATAAATCGCCGGCGGATCAGCTACGTAGCTCACCTTCAACGAAGCTTCTTAGCATCCTTCTGCCTTTGGTGTGCTCACCTGGAGAAGGTGAACTCATTTCAGGTGTGCAATAGTTGCAGATCGCTTTGCGTATGTTCCCTGCTCAGCCGAAAACATCATGTCGCTTGGCTGGCTCAGGATCCAGCTCAGCGGTACCCCTATGAGAGAGTCTCCGAGAAATGTAGCTCGTGCCTCCGGTTGGTGTTGACAGCTTTGGGATGCAGAGTTGCCTTTTGGACTTTGAGACAAGTTTGGACTTGCGACCAGGTTGAGGCATTCAAGTGACATTCAAGTTGAGACAAGGTTGAGGATGTCCAAAAAGTTCTTTGGATGCTTGATGTGGGCCACATTTTTCAGCTTTGCAGTGAGAATGGCCGTTTGTTCATGTAAACCCGGCTGGTGGCCCATGGGAGCACTTTTGTCCGGACGTCGAGCCATGGCGACGCGGGTTTCACCCGCTGGAGGCCGATATTTTTGTTGCTGGATGAGAAGTGGGCGTGTTGTTTTCTTGGTGTTTCCCAGCCATCCGGTTCCTTAGGTTTTTAGCTTTTTAGTTGGTTTAGTGGGGGGTTTCCATTTAACCCGCTTGAAGTCACTTTTAGGGGGGGAGAGGCGATTGATTCGGTGCGGGTACGTCAGGTGAGTGGTTAGTAAGCCTGGTGAAATACCCCACAAAAGTCAGGGGTATCAGTCTCCGTTCAAGTAGCCTTTTCAGGTTGCTTTAAAGGGAAAGCAAAAGGAAAGCCCAAAGATCCGTTGTTTTTTTCGGGCTGTAAATTCCCATGTACTGACATACCCAATCCGAACAAGTTTCATTTGTCCGTGTAAGAGATACCTTAGATATCCCATGGTGAGCAATCAGGTATGTTGTCCCCGACCTTGCGGCGAATCTGAGACCTGGAAGGATGGGGCTGAGCTTGATGTCCCACTGGAAACAACACTTACACTCCCACGAATTACACATGGAACCTGACAGGGGGGTCAACCATGTTAATTGGTAGGAGGGTAGATCTTGGAGGGTAACCAAATGCAAGGTAGCCTGTCCTCCCAGGTTTGCCCAGGTTGAGGACTAAAGGCAGGCAGCTCGACACATGTCATTGCTGGAAGAAAATGTTCTCAAGTGAACCTGCAACACATGTGGGTGTGGCTCAAACTTGAACAGCTGGAGTTTCGAAGATGCTTGTCTTTGTTTCGATACACCGAGGTGCTATTGGTACAGTTTATTGAGCCACGGCCATGTTTGCAAAGACCATACACGGAGGCTTGTGAAGCAATTTCTCAGCACAAGCATCGACCATACATCAGGGTTTTTGATCAGTGCTTCCAGTCCGCGGAAAGTGTTAGTTTGTAGGTGTTGCATTGTGCCTTGCCTGCAAGCCCGAATGGATGAGGTTGGATCATTCTATGGCTTTCCTTAGAGGAGCGCCTTGTCTTTTATATTCTACGGGCAACCAAAGGAAACTGCCGCATCTGGAGACCCACCCATGACTGAGGCCGTCAGATTGGGTCTCCCCGCAGGCTGAGCCCCGGCGCTGACTCGCGATGAAGGAGTCGGAGGCCTGGAGGCCCAGTGGACTGAGCAGCGGTGAGCTTGACTCGGACGGGGATCCTACATGGCCTTTCACTTGGAACTGAAACACCCCTCGAGCCCAGGGCCCAGGTGGCCCAGGATGCAACCAGAGCCAAGTCAGATAGCCCGACCAGTTTCTGGTTCTTGATGTCATGACAGTCATGACATGTTATTGGCGGCTGGCCTTGGTTTTCACTGCATTCTCCTTCAACACACAAACAGCAAGCAGCTACGTGACATCTTTCTCCCCCCCCCCCCCCGCACAAAATACAGAAGGTACCCTGGCGGTTTCACCACAAGAAAGGTACCCCCCAAGCCAAAGGCACAGCGAAGGCTCCAGGAATGAGCCCCGAGCCATGTGAGTCGCAGCTGTTGGAGCCGCGTCTTTGCGGGGCTGGCCTCGTGCTGGTTGCGGGGGCCGGTGCTGCACTTCTGCTAGGCGAGGGGAAGAGTTGTCACGCGCAGCCATTTGGTTCCAGAGACAGGTTGTTAGATTGTTTTAGCATGTTTCGTGGTCGGATTTCCGAATTGAACCCACAAGTTAGTCACATGGAGAGGGGGATCAGAAAACGGACTGCCCAGAACATGGTGGCCCATGTCAATGAATTCAAAGGACGCCTGGTGGACATAGAGCACAGAATTGGGCGATGTTTGTTGCAGGATCTCTAGTTCAGATGGGTTCTTTCCAAACACGACAAAGGCGACCAACACATGGGCTTCCCCAGTTTCAAACCAACCAGTCTGGTCAATCGGGCTCTCCAACTTGCAGTCGCACGCAACTCCCGAAATGCACTGTTTCGATGTTGCCGGCCTTGGGACGACAGATGTCCGGTGTGACAGTCCCTTGCAAAGTCTTGGCCCACGTTTTTTGACTTTCACGCTCCATCCTGCCGCAAGCAGCCGGGATTGCACGTGACGCTTGCGCAGGCACCTTCTTCCTATGGAGCAGCAGAATCGCCGACGCTTCTGGTGCCTTCCGTCGGAGCACTGCCCGCGCGGTGATTGAGCCGGACGTGTGCAGTGGAGCCAAAGCAACGCCCCTGGGCCAAACCGGGTTTTTACTTGGCAGTGACAAGGAACCCGCTTGGTGCCGGGATGAGAACCACTACATACGGTATAACAAATATACACATGCATACGAGAATATACATCTATAAATATTTTGTATAAACACATGCTGTTGCACTATATGCATACAAGTGTGTTGTGTGGCAGACCTTCTGGTGTATGAATCGACGACTGAACATGACGGACACCACAGGGCTCATCGAAATTGGTTTTCAGGACAAGCAGCAAACCACATGCCCCCGCCAGCCGCCATGTCTGACAAGCCAAGAATTGTTTGGAGCTGGTCCAGATGCCAACCGCATGACCAGCCCTCCTCACTTGGACAGCCGCAGTGACCACCAACCCAAGCCACATTTGAACATACAGTCGTGTAAAGGGGGTAACTTGGTGGCTCCCAGCAATCCGTTCAGCCTTTTGTTTGGTTTGGTGGGGGGGCGGTTCCACCAAAAAGTAGGCACTTTGGGCAGGGGATCTGAGAACGGAGAGCCCAGTTAAGACATACACGGCGCAGCCTCCGCTTCGAGGCTCCTTCCGCCTCGCGGCTTTCACCTCTCCGGTCCCTGGCGCCCAAAGTGTCGTTCGCTGCCGCACCCCGACGCCGACGCCGGCGCGGACGGCGCGGGCGCGGACGCGGGCGGCGGCCGGAACTGGTGCTGGGAATATGTGCGGCACCAGTGCTACGGGTCTCATGGCTACGGGAGCTGGTGGGAAGACCAGCTGAAGGCTGGCGGATTTTTTGTGTGTCACCGGTCTGGTTGTTTTCCTTGGTGTTTCGGGGGCACTCCATGTTTGGTTGGGTTCTAAGGGACACCAAAAGAAACAACCACCCATTTTTGACCCCCCCCCCCATTTGGACACAAACCCAAAAGCCCTTGCGATGTTTTGCGTGCAGCTGGAGGTTGAGTCAAGGATCCAGAATTGTTTGTTTCAAGAGGGAGCTAAGGAGCTACCAGGAGTTCTGTAAGGACATGGTAGGGTGTTTAACGACCAGACGTAATTCCGAGAGGGAAGCTTTGGCAAATCTTCTGGCGAGCATTGATTCAGGAGCCGGGCATGGGCGAAACGGTCGAATCAAAGATATTTTCGCCTCAAGCAAATTCACTGTTCACGCAATTGGCGTGCAGCACAAGCCGGCATGTGTTCAGCATCCTGTGAGTTGTTCGTCATAGCAGTCACAATGGCTCAAGGGATTTTATATGAGACATACTGTGGATCGGGCGAAATCCTGCACAGCCTAAGAAACCTTGGAATGATGACTCTCCTGGCAATACCAACAAACAATGGCGTCAACCATGGTTCCTTCGGTGCGAACGGATTTCGTTTGTCCACAGTATCACCTATATCATATCAAATGGTCGTCCAAAGCATGCCTCCCCCCTGGGTCACTTACACCGATTGGTGTTCTAGTAAACGGGTTCTGATCGCTGAAAGGACAAACATGTGCATCCGAAAACCAAGTTAGCCAACGAGTCACCCAAATTTTCGAACTAGTTGGGGTCATAGGTGTCCTTTTTAGGTTAGTTTGGTTAGACATAGATGGCAATTCCATTGCCAGAACCATCTGTTTTTCGAAAAGGACACCAATGGTCAGGGCACATTCCCTCTCCGCTGTGAAAGTCAGTTCCTCTCCTTCTGCGTCGCTTGTTTCGTTGCCCAAAGATGGAGGGAGCGGCCTGGTTTCACCACTCTCGAAGGGAAGCCATCAACCGGATGTTCTACAGGAAATTGGCCGAACACCCACCAAAAAACAGGGCTTGCCAGAGCCACCCTGAGAGCCCCTACCCCTATAAATCAAATCAAAACTCAACATACCACATCCCAAAACCCCCAGACCTCGTTTTCCCTTTCAACTCAACCCCAAAAACGGGCCAATGCGTTCCCCTCGTTTTTGGGGGGGCTTCCCTTTCACAACATAAAGAGCTCCAGAACCGCTTGTTCCTCGCTGCCTGGGCCTTCCCTGCAAAAAAAGACACACACAAAACGGGGGGAGAGCTGGGTGCCCCCCCTGTTCCTCCCCATCCGAATCCCCCCCCCCCCCGCTCCCTGTCAGTCTCCAAGCCAGGCCTCGCGCTTCGGGCTGGCGCCGGACCCGCGGCTCTTGCGCCTCTTCCCCTTGGAAAGGCGACCGAGGGGCAAACCCGAGGCTTCCATTTGCTTAATTTTTTTTTTTTTTTTTTTTTTTAAGGTCCCCTGTTGGTTTTAAAGGGAATCTATAACTACTGGAGTTTGTTTTTTCCCAGGGGACTTAAGAAAATGGAGGGAGATGGTTTGGAGGGAGCCACCGGATGTTTGTTGGACCAAAAGTGGTGACGAGCCGACTGTAGGTAATACATGCTTATATCTATAGGTATTATATATATATATATATATGTATACCACATTTACCCTCCAAATGGGTTAAATGTTGGTATTGTTTTTGCCCCTACATGGATTGTTTGGGAATAGAGGTCGAAGAACTGGTTCGTGGTTGCAAACACAGGGTTTCCAGGCCCGAGCTCTGCGAGCAACGGCTCGAAACCTGGGAGGAGAAGGGGGCGGACGAAGATTTGGCCTGGCTGCCTCTCGGAGAGTGGGGTGCTGGTTGCTTCATTGTTTCCTTTTTTGTTTGCGCGGTTGTTTTGTGTTGTTTGTTTGTTGGTTGGTTTGGTTTGGTTTGGTTTGGTTTATTTTGTTGGAATTGTTGATGGACCCTTTTTGAGACACCACCCCTATTTCGAGTTCTCCCGTTGTGGAGGAGGTTCCCTTTGCTTTCAACTACCAACCAAAAACAGAGCATCCTTTTTTCCATGGAAATTTAATGGGGGTCTGGGTAGGGCAAGTGATGAAGTTGTTGCTTGGTTTCCCAAAGTGAAACGGGCACCCTCGACACAGATGGGAGGACGGGCCCATGTAGCAGCGGCCTTGCGGAATAGTTGCCTGTGAACGAAATGTTTTGTTTTGTCTCTTTGTTTTTTTCTGCGGAGATGAAGATGAAGATGAAGATGAAGATCAAGATGATGATGATGATCATGATGATGATGATGATGATGATGATGATGATGATGATGGTGATGGTGATGGTGATGGTGATGGTGATGGTGATGGTGATGGTGATGATGATGATGGTGATGATGATGGTGATGATGGTGATGTATTAGGGGAACTATTCAAAGAACAAGACAAATACAATACGGACTTGTCCTTTTCTGAGGGTACACGTTTCTTGTGCTTTGAACGGAAACACCCATGTGCCACTCCTGCCCCGGCCCCCCCAACGACGGTTGAGGCGAGAGGAGGTGGCGGTGTATGTGGTGAACCTGCGGACGGCAACGGACCGCTGGAAGGCAATTAGCCCCCTGGCTTTTCATCGCCAAGATTTGTGGGGCTTCTTGTGTGGTTGCTCTCCATCATGGTTCCTTGTCAGATTGGGATTTCTTTGGGTCAAAGTCTGGCGTCTGAGTTCCCATTTTGGACACAGGGATATTGATATCCCCCCCCTGAAAAGTGGAATTTGGAGAGGGGGGTGACCCTGGTATGGATCCACTTTCCCTTGTATGGGGAGGACTAGACAAATGAAACTGGGGACCCATCACCCCCTCCCCCTTATGGTAGGCGCCGGTCCTCCCTATGTTTCTCACCTGGCGGGGTTGGCGTTCCTTCCGTGGACTCTTGCAGCAAGATTGGCTTTGTGTTAGGCCGTGCCCACCGGGGTCTGGAGAAAATTGGCTCGCAACCTGCAAACGGGTCGCTAGTTTTAGCTTGGCCCTGCGCCAGCTCCGCTGTTGAGGGATCTTCCGGATTCTCTTGCGGCGCAGTGCTCGTAGCCTGATTTTAGATGCCTTGTGGCATTTCCTGTAGCCGGCTTGTTGCAAGTTTAAAAGACGGGGCTGGAGGGTGAACAGATTATTACGGCCGTCCTAATAAAGGGTGATGGCTTACCAAACCGCGACCATGTACACTTCCTCCCACTAACATAGGAGGGGCCCTGCCATGAAAACTTGGGAGTAAGATAGGGCGCAGCAGGGAATGAGGGAACGACCCCTATAAACCATCCCCCTGGGTTCATTCCCTAATTCCTACTTATCGCACCAGCAAGGTAGGGGTCTTTTCGACTCAGGTGAGCGCCTAAAGGGTAGGACGCAGCAGGGAATCAGGGAATGACCCCCACAAGCCATCCCCTGGGTTCATTCACTCATTCCCTGAGCACGTGCAAGAGGGTCACCCTGTTCTCGAGGCGAACGCCTGACGCAGCTGAAAATCCCCTTCCAACGCCTCGAAGGCGTCGAGGCCGATGAGTGGCCGGGACCTCGCGATGGCATCGGCCGCGGGACGGCGGGGGTGGCGCTGGCGCATCTGAAAGCGTTGGAGCAGGACGCGACTCGAATCGCCGGGTTTCAAGTTGCATGTCATGAACGTTTGATTTGCTGAAAAGGATTGTTTGTTATTGTTGCACGCTGTGTGCCAGCTTGTTAGTACAAAAGGCAGATTTGGTTTAATTTTCCCAAATTTGGCACGGCTTCCCAAAAATATCATGTTTCACAAGGGAATCCATCTTTCACTTTTTAGCACGGTGATCTTTCAACTGCCCCAAATTTGTCTCCCTTAAGCTAGGCGGGTTCTTTTTGGCTTGTTCAACGGTTGCTAGTAATGCCTTAAACCTTGATACTCTTGGTACATCCATTCGGGCCCTGAAAAGAGTCCGCACTCCCTGCAGCAAGTGTGTTTGACTGTGTTCGGCCTCCCGCCCCTCCAAATGTTCACTCCTTTTTACAGTACGGTGTCAAGCCTTGCTGTAAAAAAGGAGTCATCTACAATGAAAACGCAGGTTTCCCCAAACATACACCCTATGCAAAAAAGCAACTGGTATTCGGAGGGCGTTTATTTTATTGAGTCGAGCGCTGGCTTCCCGCTCGCGCCCTGTGCTCCGCGCCGCGTGCTCGCTGAGTCCTCGAGGCGGCGCGGGGCGCCGCGCCGCTGGCGCTCATCTTGGAGGACGACGCCTGGCTGGCGGAGGGCTTCGCGTCGAAGCTGCGGCAGCTGACGCGGGAAGCGCCCTGCCAGTGGCAGGCCGAGATTGGGTCCAGGAAAAAAGAAACCAAGCATGGGTCATGTGGCTGTGGGTCAAAACCAATGGTACCATGTTGGGGTAGGTGAATTCACCACCCATTTTAGAACCTATTTTAGTGGGGATTGGGATGTTCACTGGGGGTACGGGCTTTTGACCCATGGCCATGCATTCGTGTACTCCTTAAAGGCGAGGGGTTAATTCCTTAGATTTGGGTTTTTGTTGCTTGTTTGGGGACAGGGGACTTTGTGTTTGACCCTTGCCAGGTGATCTCTTTGAAGTCGCGGTGTCCATTTGGCTCCTGCGTCTCGAAGCATCTGTCGCAGGTTGTGCCAGATGGCAATGGTGGCAAATGCAGCGGCCTCAACTTTGGCTTCTCAGTTGCAACCAATCCTTTCAACATGTTTTACCTTTTGTCGGGAGAGGGTTCCCTTCCAACAGAGTCAAGCAACAAAACCCGCCCTCCTGGTTGTCTTCCTTGTCTTGTGGGAGCGTTCCCTTCAAGCTCAACTGACCAAAAGATGCCACATGGAGTTCCACCAGAGGCTTCCTTGCGATGCTCTACCAGGTGCGAAGCCTGGAGGAGGTGCGGGCGGCGCTGAAACGAGCGGTTTGGCACGAGAAGTGCTACGACGTGGACGTGGCTTTGGCGAGCATCTCGGATCAGGCGCCTGCTGAGCCAAAAAAGAGCCGTTTCCCGTGGGGTTAGAGATGGTCATTTTTCCATTTACGTGCAGCGGCAACAAGCCCTGTACACTGAAGGACGCAATGGGGTGGTCATGGACCCCTAGTTGTTTTTTTTGTTGTTTCCTCCTTTTTTGTGGAGCACTTGGGCATGGATCCGTGGATCAGAGGGTTTGGCCAGGTGGCGTATTATGCGGTGCCCTCCATCCAGCGAGGTTTGGTCAAGGAGATGGGCTTCGAGTCGTTGCGCGACGCGCGGAACAAAGAGTCCGGCACCGCGTGAATGGGGCGTGCCGAGCCAAAATGCGCTCAGCATCGCTCAGCCAAAATGCGCTGCTGCACGGTTTCTGCCGATTTTTCCTGTTCAAAGGAGCCAAGCCGAATTGTGCAAGCGATTCTCAAAGGTTGAATTTGTTTGAGGATGTCTCCCTTTTCTCTACTGGCAGAGCAATTTGTGAAGCCTGTGTATGTTTGGCGTCATCTAGTGAGGCAGCACAGGCGAACAACGAAAGTTAGTTTCCCGAAGACCCTGCCGGATGTTTCTCTCAATTGATTTGGTGACCTTTCTAGAAAGAAAGCACGTGCTCCGAAGCGGAGACCACATGAGTTCGTTCCTTGCGTTGTATTCGAAACAACTCAGCAAGGTGTCCTCTGATGCTTCTCCCATTGTGAATTCTAGCAAGAGGGGTGTGTTATTTTTTGTTGGGAACCTTCTTCGGGTTGGTATTGAAAGGGAACCAAAAGGACGCCCTTGCCATCTTTGGGCTGTCCGATTTCCTATTTTTTGGGCAATCCCAAATACCCAAGTCGTTGTCAACTTTGCTGGTGCTCAGCAGGGAATGAGGGAATGACCCCTATAAACCATCCCTTGTGGTTTCCTTTAAGGGGAATCCCTGGGTTCATTCACATTCCCTACTTATCGCACCAGCAAGTCAGACGGCGTTGAAGCGACGGGTCGGTCTTCTGGCCCAGGATGCAGCTGAAGCCATGGCTAGGCCTGGAGCCGCTGGGATTCCTTTGCTTAGCCGGCGGATTTGAGCTATTTTGGTTGAAACCTTAAGGGGTGACGCTAGTACGGTTCGAGTCGCCTCATCAGCTGTCCTTGAACCCATACAAATTGTTTGATGTGCTTTTTACTGCAAGGAAGGTGGCCGATCGATTCAACCTTTGAGCTCGAGCTTGTGAACTTTGAGGGGTGTCTTGCCTCCAGCAGTGAGTTTTTTTCTTTTCTGAACTGGAACCTTGTAGGGAAGATGTAAGTTTCTTGCAGAACGAAGAGCCCCTTTGAATTTGAATGATGTCAAAGTCAAAATCCCGCGAAAGGCGGTGCATCATTTTTCGGGCGGACTCGGTTTCCGTCCCTTTTTGGACACACCCACGTTGTCCACGTCATTCGCCGGCTCAAAGATGAGCTCGGACAGAGATGGCAGCGCCCTCCCTGCCTCGGCCGAGGCGGGCGCCGAGGTTTTTTTCCTCAAGTCGACGAGTGGGCAAGGGGCAAGCAGTCTCACCCAACACCTGCCCAGCCCAGTGGCCGCAGTGCCGAGACCCTTTTTTCATGTTTTTCGGGGGATGGGTTTCCGGTGAAACTCCGGCAACCAAATATGGGTGCTGTGTTTTGCCGATGGCCACTGCGCATTTGAGACATGTTTCTGGGCTTGTGCTTTTGGGAATGGACAACTGTTGGGGAAATGGTGTTTGTGTCAAAGTGTCTGCTGGATCAGGGACTTTTAAAGATCGGCTCTAGGGATGAATAATGAAACCAGAGCCTAGGGTTTGTCAACCTGTTAAGGCACGTGGGAAACCGAATCCAATATTTCTTTTCAATAGAGAGAGGGCAATGGTACGCACCAGTTAGCTTTCTGTTTTTCCCAGTATTCATCGGAGTTCATGAATCCCACCCTGTGCATAAGTTTATCCACAGTGGCTTTGTTTGGCTGTGTCTCCTGCTGAACTCGATGGTAAACGGTAAACGGTGAGCGGATATCTCCGGAGAATTAGATTATATGTGCTGATAGTAAGAATGGAGTTACACGCTGTGCCATGAAAAATCAAACAGTGCCCACATGAAAATACAAAGAACAGGAGTGAAGTGAGGGAGAGAAGGTGACGCGCTCCCTTTCTCCCTGATGTAGTAGTCTCTCATTCTGTCTATTTTCTATTGTCCTTTCCCTTCTTTGGCCTATATCTGCGCATCTCTCTCGTTCACCCACTTTTCTTTCTTCCTATCATATGCTGTAGATATAGGCTTGTAAAAAAGAGAGGGCGAGAGGGAGGGAGGGAGGGAGGGAGGGGCATTCTCTTTGCTCATCCATCTCTCAGCTCCCTTTGTTGCTGTACTATGTGAAGCTGAGGAGATGAATAGGTGGAATCAAATGTTTTGCATGGTATGAATGTTGGTACCACAAGTACCACATTTATACACATGTCACATTGATATATTATTGTAGTTATGCAACTTTCCAAGTAGAAAGGTAGAAATGTAGGGGGTGACCGTATATACAATTATATATATACATATTGTGATTATGTGCCTTGTTGCCGCATGAAACCAGGTTGAACTCCCGAATTGGCCAGGGAGTGGTTGCGCTGATGCAGGATCCAATTCAAGCTCCTTGAATCAAAATAGGTAGACTCCCAAAAATGGCTGGCACGACCCTCAACAACCAACACAAACACACAGGTGCTTGAAGCCTGAGGGTGAGATGGCAACCCTGACTCCCGTAGACTCACTTCCGATTGAGGTGATGAGCCAAGCAAGGCAACCAAACTTGTTTTTTGCCACTATCATGGTCCAAACCCAAAAAGTTTAAAGTCCATGAACTCAGGAAATGAGGAGATGAACCGCACAGATTCAGCCAGCTTTATTTTTCTGCAGCGATTCGGCCAACAAACCTTCAACAAGTCACAAAGCCAGGAAGGCAATCCCGCATGCAGCGGAAAGTCAGAGTCAGGGACCTGACCAGGCCGGCCGAATTGAGATGTTCGTGAAAACATGCAGCCCTGGTGGGTTTCATGTGGAGAGGGTACTTCAAACCAGGAAGGTTGAAATAGATGGGACAAGTCGTAATGAGAGCTGAATGGATAGCACGAAGGTTGAACAACAAGTTTTTGTGACAGCATTCGCTGATGTTCAGCGGGCTGCTTTTTTGTGATTGCCCGTCCGGAAATGGGGATCCGTTTGACCCAGTCAGCTTGCCGCCCAACTCGCCGGTTCAGGATGACGTCCTCTTGACGCCAGTGGAGGCAAGGTTTTGCCGCTGAGGGGGCAATCGTCTGTTTTGGGTCTGTCTTTTTTTGAGGCGCGGTACCCGTTTTGGGGTTGGTTTAAAGGAAAAGCAACAGGATCACCACAAGTTTGGGGTCCATGACAAGAAGACACTGGCGATCGTTTCAATGGAAATCACCAACTCTTCGAAGCTTCGGGAGGGTGCGCCACTTTGGGAGATGGAGCTTATGGTGGCCGACTCTTTTTGGACTCTCAGGATGAACAGATCCTTCCCCTCTTTTAAGCCAATGGCCGTGTTCACTTATCCCTTTGCCAGAGGAGCACCTCGTCCCAAGGAGGCAGGGTAGGTTTTCGAGCTTACTATGATGCTGGTCGCACAAAGAGGCCCCAAAATGACCATGGGTAACTTTTCCCATGTGGTGGACGTCATCGTTTTTTGTGTTGTTCCCAATGGGCACCCCATGTATCACATGCCTTCATGAAACTCGTTTGCTTGTTTCTCTCACGAGAATTGGCGCTTGCTGCTTCAATGCCATGTCCCTGCTTGCAAGCGTTGTCAACCGTTTGAGCTCGGATGGACCACATTCGAACTCTGGTTCGCTGGCGAATAGGTTTCGCTTGACCTCCTATGCATTATAACAGATAGGTGCATGTGTAAGCTTTACTTCTCAATCTTGATATCCGATGAGTTCAAAATTAGTCCTGCCCAGTTTTCCCACAACCTGCCTTACCCATTCCGGTCGTTCACTCACCCAGCGTTAGCCCTGCGGGTCTAGTAGATTCACCCAAGTTACACAGCAACCATGGGTCAAAGCAGCTGTCCTTTGCCGCATTCAAGTCTTTGGCCAGGGTCCCATCCCCAAGTAGATTTCCCTGGATGGCTTCAGACGAAAATCAACAGTGCATGTTGCTGTTTGTGAGGGTCCGACTTGCCTTGAATCATGGGTCTTTCGAGAAATTCGTGGGATTCGCTGGACGCCTTGCTTCTTGAGTTTCGGTTTGGCGTCTCTACCATCTACCAACCGCCCAGAGTTGCGACCTCAAAGGAGCTTACTTGAAGCCCAGCCATCCGGTTCCTTGGGCATTTTTTTAAATACACATATAGTCAGTGTAGTGATTAGGTTTCCATTTATCCAGTGAGTCACTCTAAGCAGGGGATCAGTTTGGACATCCCAGCCTAGATCTTTCTTCATGTTCAGGAACACGGAATGCACACCAGACTGTTTCATCCTCCGTTCCATCTTCAACCCAAGGTAAACACCTCCCCCTTTTCCGGGGCTTGCCCCCCCCCCCGACCGATGCGCAGGCCTTGTGCCGGGAGCTGGCCGCGTCCCAGGGGCTCCACGAGGGCGGCTCGGATGGCGCGGCCTTGGCGTCGCTGGAGCGGCAGGTGATGGCCGGCGCCGCGGCAGCCGAGGGCGAAATGGGTGTGTAAGCAGGAGGGGCAAACCGCAGGTGTTGGTCCATGTTTCCACTTACCAGGGTTCCATTTTGGAATTCCGGTTTTTTGAGCCACAGCCAAATGTCCATGCGAAGATGGGAGGGTCGTTTTTGGAGGCTGCCCTTCGCTTGTCCAGAAGCAAATTGGTTAAAAAGAACCATATTCTTAGCAAATGGGAACAATATGGTTGTTTGGTTCTTTTTAACCAATTTGCTTAGGAAGATGGTTGTTTGCTTAAGAATATGGTTAACATTGGGGCCAATTGGGTCTGGTTCTTTTCTTGAGGGTCCCTTTGCTTGTGGCTTTAAAGAACGACTAAGAAAGAAAAAAACACATTTGGGGGTCCCCGAAAGCACACGGCACACACACACACACACACCCATATGGGTATGGGTCGAAATTAAACCACCAGGATATGGACCGCTCATTGTAGTCCATGTTTCCATTTACCAGGGCAACCCGTGTTGGGGGTACCCCATTTTTCACTCCAGCTGTTTTACCCTTCCTCCCACGTTGCCATGGCACCTGAGGGAGGGTTGGAAGATAACCTGCCGGGTACCCCCTGTTGGTGGCCATCCTTACTCCGTACTTTGGGTTACGCAAGGGGTCCCCCTTGGAGTGGCTTCTCTATAGAGAGTATGGAAAATCGGATTGGCCAACCCTCCATTTTGAACAGCCCAAGCTTGAAATCATTGGCAGTTTCTTTTTTGCTTTCCCTAAAATCAATGCGGGCGATTTGGAGGAGCCAGGAGCCGGCTAGAGTTGCAGATGGCCTCTGGGTGCCCGGGGGGCCGTTTCTCATGTTTGAAGCCCCCCACAGGATTCTTGAGCCATGGAGTGGTGCAAGTATTTTGATTCTCCATAGGTTGCCTTGGTTTCAGCACGGCTATGTGTTCAACCATACGTTGAGGACCCGGATTCCGCGACTTCAGCTAAACAGAGCTTCTGATTGTTGTCCTGCTGATGAGGCAGCGAGGACAAAGTCTCAAGTCACTGATACTTTCAGCCACTACACCACAATCCCAATTTTGAAGTCGACTTCCATTTGCTGAAATTAATAGTCTTGTTTTCCCTGTTTTTTCTCCAGGGAATCGATCCACTGGGTATGTTGTTCAATTGTCCCAGAAAGCTCTATAGCTATAGCAAATGGATGGTGAGTCCTGCGAGGCTTAGATGGTCAGATGGTTGGGTCTTTCTGTCGAGACAACGGTTTGGATGTGGCGAATCTGTGGATCCAGCCCTGTAGGATATCAAACGAGTACTAAAAGGAATACTAAAAAATGACCAACTGGTGGGGAACAGCTGAAATCCACAAAATGCGCAAATCCAAACAATTCTCTAGATTCTGGAGCTTGGAAACTGTTTCTGACGCCCGTACCAATACAACATTGACAACGCACCCCGAATCAACTGTAGAAGTCACGAGAGCCGAGTGACAGCAACCGTCAATCGATTTTCGAGATACCGGTTTTATCTCCCAACAGGCAATACTTCTACTGCAGATGCAGTGCATGACGCTTGATCCAGACACCTCACCAGCACCTTTGCCTCACCAGCAAAGGTGCGGTGGAAGGGGAGGAGGATGTCTCTGCGATCACGACTTGGGTCTCTTTGCGGCGGCCTTAGAGTCTCGCGGGCTGCATCGTGCACGCCCATCAACCTGTCGCGCATGTAACTGGATTTTCTCGCATGTGCGCATATTAGTGTGGTTGGTGTTTTGTGTTGAGGGTTCGCCCTGTATTGACAGTTCATCATGCTCGTCCAACTGAAGCTGGGACATTGGGGACATTGACAGCATTCATCCAGCTCGATAGCCATCGGTGGTAAAGTATGGTAAAGTTGTGTGTCTTTCTGTTTCGAGGAGCAAGACAAAGCCTCAAGTGTTCGGTATATGCTTGTGTGATCAACCCATGTCCAGTGCGCATATAAATGGGAAAACCATGGACACCCCTAATGTTGGGTAGTGAATAGTCAAGGGCTCCCTTAAACAAAATGGGGGCCAATGGGGGAAACCTAAATCAGGTTGGGGGTCAGCGCTGGGCCTATGCAAGTAGTCTCTCAGCAAGTAGTTGTTTTTTCTTCCTTTTTTTTCTCGGTCCTTTTCGGTCCTCCTTGGTCCTTTTGGGTCCTCTGTGCTGAGTACTGGTTTAGAGTTGTTTGAGGATTCCTTTGAGCTGGCCCAGTACTGCTTGAAATTGGCTTAGTATTGGTGTAGTATTCCTTTGTACTGGTTCACTAGTCTTTATAAATTGGTTTAGTACTTGTCTGGTATTCTTCGGTGGCCCAGATCTAAGGGTTTTTGTATTACCTCCTGGGAATACACCCACTGGGTATTGACCCCATTTAGGCACGTTTCCGGTAAAACCGTGTAATGTTGAACAACATGGTCCTTTCTCAAGGGTGTAATCGCAGGGTGTGATACAATAACCCGCAGACCAGATTTCCCTGCATCAAAGTTAAAGTTCATTCATTCCGATGAACTTTTGGGACTTCCTGTGCCCGCTTGAAGATATGTTTGGACGGCTGGTTTAGCCAAGGGTCTTACAAAGGACTTGGCTGTTTGGGGCCTCAGTTCATTTTGCTGGCTCAGGATTGTTCAATCTTGGTTTAGTATGGATGAGCATTGGTTTAGCAACAGCAGGCCTTGGGCTCGTGTTGTTTTTGTTGGTTTCTTTTTTATTATTATTGTTTGTTTGTTTTTGTGTCTCATCCTCAGGCGGGCATGTTGTCCCACGGAAGCAAAACCACTTTTCTGATCTTCCTCCCCGTTTTGCTTTGCAGAGCGGGGAATGATTTTGGGACAACTTGTGTGAATTTCCTTTGATCCGCTCTCCGACGTTAAATCGGAAGACAACTCCAAACAGGCAGAATCAAACAAGACATATTATATCCAACTGAGTGCTTCCTTTTTAGGAATCGGACCCCCCCAACAAAACACAGAACAACAGACATAATATGTTTTGACTTTGGTTTTCCCTTTAACAACTCCACAAGAAGGGATAATATTCCTCAAAAGAAGGCACGGCCATATGGCCCATCCGCTCTGTCCCTTGGCCTGAGGTGCAAGGGGCCCGGCAACCAGCGCTTCGGCGTGGTCTGCGCGTGTTTGCCCGTGCCGGGCCGGGGGTGCTGCTTCGTGGTCACGGCGGTGGAGCCCTTGGGCCTGGTGGAGCTGTGGAACGACTCGGTGAGAGATAAGCGGAGACGCGCGGCTGAATGTTCAGCGGATACCCGCCTTCTTAATTCTTTACATGGTTTTGGGTAGACAATTTCAATACCGGGTTTTCAGTATGACTCAGGTGTCCTTTTGATTGGCTTGAAGCGGAACAAAAAGATGAGGATTCCTCTGGGTTAGATTGGTTTGAGAAAGGCAAATTAAAGGGGCCAGATACTGTGGATCCGCTGCTCGAAAATGAAACCATGAGAAGAAAACCATGACGATTGTTGGTATTTGCGTTAGGGAGTCGAACCATTCCAGTCTTTCCTAGGTGGTCCAGGATTTCGGTCATCCACAGTAGGTGTCCTGTTGATCGGCTAGAATGGATAGAATAGATTCGGGTCTTACGCCGGAGTTTCTGTGGACAGTCGGGGAGAGTGCCATAGTTGTACTCCCCTGCAAATGCACAGAAGAACCTGAAAGGCGGGGTTCCCCAAAAGAACCAAAAGGGTTTCCCCTGTGAGAGATGCTGATCCCTATACGCTAGGATCGGTATACATCTCCAACGGACAATTTCAATGTCATTTGCTCATGTTACCTTCCTTTTTTGTCTGTTTGTCTTCCCGGTGTCTTTATGTCTTTCTGTATGTATTTGTGTGTTTATTTCTTTCTTGATTTCTTTATGTCTTTCTTTCGTTATTGATTGTGTCTTTGTTATTTTGGTGTTCTTTATGTATTATGTATTTAGTATGTATTTATTTGTTCTTTCTTTATTTATTTCTTTATTTCTTTCTTTATTTCTTTATTTCTGTCTTCATTTGAGTTTGTTTGGTGTCCTTTCTTTATCAATGTGTTTATTTATTTCTGTCTCTGTTTTTTTTCTTCTTCTTTCATTATTTCTCTCTCTCTCTCTCTCTCTTTCTTTTGCTTCTCTATTGTTCTCTCTGTCTCAATCTGTCGCACTCTCTCTCTCTGTCTATGTCCCTCTCCTCTCCCCAAATGGCCCCAAATCCATTCTCGTATCGCAAGGCAACCTATCCTGCTGTAGTGCAACGCGCAGCGGCTCGTGCAAAATGAGCGCAGCCCAGGAATTCACTTGGGCTGCAGCATTTGGTCCGTGAACGGCACGCATGGCGACGTCCAGCGCATGCAACGAGAGCTGGAGACGTCAACAGAGGCCCATGACCGCTACAATGCAGGTGTTCCGTTTCGTTCCTGGTTTAAACAAACCCTAAAAATACCACCCTGGACAAAGAGCCACCGATTGTAATTAAGTGTAAGAGGTGTTGCTGGCTTGTTTATGTTGAATGTTGTGCATTGAGACAGCCAACAAAGAAACGGTTACATTGAGAGAGGCCGCCCTTTGTGAGACCCTGTCGACTACCCTTTCAATTGGCTAGAGTTCAGCATGGGACTTTCCTGCAGCTTTTGCAGTTTGATTCATCCATTTTCTGTTCGGGGAGGAGCAGCCTCAGCTTGTAAGTGGGTTGGATTTGTATCAGGTCTGCGCCTTGGGGCAACTTGGGATAGTGGGTTTCTACATTTGCTTTGTTTCCATGGCTTTGCCCTCCTTGGTGGCAATGAAGAGAGCTTGCAGCATTGAGTTCGGATGAGCCCAACACCCAGTGGTTCAGCACACCTTGGGTCCCAATGAAGAGTCGTTGTGAAACACAGAGAGACACACACAGACACAGACACACCGACAAGACAGACAACACAGGCAGGCGGGCAGGCAGGCAGACAGACAGACAGACACACAGAGACAGACAGACACAGCCACACACACACATGAACAACAACTTGTTCCTTCATCTTATCAGAATTCTTGGATGTCCCAGAACATCCAACCAGGGAAGTCAGATGGCCACTTCAATTGCTGCTCATGCTCTTTAGATTTGTCCAGCCCATGGGTGCAACTTTTGCGCCAAGGGATTCGGCTCCATTTTCTTTTGCGTGGATCCCGTTGCAACCGTTTCTTCCAAACCATCCAACGACTGCTGGGAGGTGCGGCTTTGCATTTGCAACCCGCCCAACGCCTTCTGCATGAAGAGGGCCCTGGAAGCGTGCGAAGGAGGCCCCATTGCTAGCTGGCAGGCCAGGTGGGGGGTGCGGGCAAAGCGCGAGAATGTTGTGTAAGCAGGGAGTGGTTCCCTCTCATCCTTGTTTGTTGGCAGGTTCGGGTCCGGTAAAGGTAAGATCGCGAGTTTGTGTAGGTCTATGGCTTGTGCTCGGGATAGGTTGGGTGTCTTAGTCTTGTTCTGACAGAACCGCTTCCTAGGTGGTGAAAGACCCACTCTCTGGCACCAGCCCGGGGCCCGAACTCGAGTCTTGGCTGCTCTGCGTGACCAAATCGCCCCTCTAACGACCTCTTGGAAACAACTGGCTTTTTGCTGTTTTGACCTACAAAAAAGGGTCTAAGCACCGCATGCTCGAGGCTTGGGGCGGGGCTTGGAGCAACTGAGGAGTGCAACATTACAGTGGTCATCACCACGAGCCCGGTACCCTCCAACCCCAGCACCGAGTTACTGGAGCGGCTCGGCTTCCGGATCCGGAGAAGACACATCCCTGGTAGGTCCCTGGCATTTGTTTGATAAATATTGGGGGGGCTGTTTTTGAGAGTACTTTTTTCATGGGCGGGTTTATGTGGGGGGGGGGTGTCTGTTTTTAAGGGTACTAAGTTTTACAAGGAAACCGGCAAGGATCCGAAGCCCTATTAATTTGAGCCGCACCCAAATAGGGTGTGAATTCTAAGACTTGGAACCACCTCACAAGTGGCAGCTGGGAATAAGTCTCCACCCGAATGATGTCCGCCAAAGGGCCCCTATTAAAAATTCAGAAACATATGTGTTTCACTTTGTGTTTCACTTTGTGTTTCACCTATGACCCCAGGGGCTCTATGTGTTTCACCTACCCCAGGCGCGTGCTGCTCAGTTTGCACCGCATCCCCGGCCTCCGGGCGGCGCCGAAGCTGATCGCCTGCGACGGCCACCGAAGGAGCGCTGGGAAGGCCAACCACAAGGCGGGCAAGGTGACCCTGGAGGCCGGGCGGCGCGAGCGCGACGCAAGGGCCGATGGGTACTTTGAGGATGTTACTGTGACCCAGTGGATCCAGCTATGCTCCTTGTGGTAGGGTGGAATGCCCGTGATTAGCTACTGAAAGCAGGGTACTTAGTAAGTGGTGAGAAAGCCTGGTGATATGGCTGTGGTTGTCAAAACCGTTTTGGGATCCCATTTTTGGGGGATTTGTGCACCACCCATTTTAGAACCTGTTTTAGTGGGGATTGGGATGTTCCCCAGGGCCATATCCCACCGAACGGAGACTTATAAGCTTATAGCCACGGCAACCATTTTTACTATCCACTTACTAAGTACAATGCCACTTTAAGAATCCACTTCTTCAGTCCATGGTCAACCCCAAAAAAGAAATGCGAGGGTCTTTTTGTTGTGGCAGGGATTGGGACCTACATGCTGCTTCACTATTTGTTTTTTTGCTCGCCCAGTTTTTGTCAATCGGGTCTGTTCTGGGATCCTTAAAGTGAACAAGTTCTCGCGGGTTTTCCTTGAAGTGTGTTTTGTTCCGGTCTCTTGTTGCAGATTCCTGTTCGGGTCTTTTTGTCAATCGGGCCTTTTCTCTCAGACTTCCTGCGGCCCGTTTTGCCAGGAGTCCGAAAACTACCAGCGCTTCATTGCCCAGCTGCAAACCTCCCAATGCTCCGCCGAATCCACGTCGCCGTCCCTTGGTACCCAGCAAACTTTTTGCGTGTTTGGAGTTGGGTGTGGTTCCTTGTTTTTAAGGGTACCCCTTTTGGTGTTTTGAAGGGAAACCTTGGATGGCTGTTAGATGTTTTCAGTGTTTCATGTCGCACTTGCCTAACCTTATCTAGAAAACCAACCCACCTTTCAACAACGACAAGGGTGTCCTGTAGAAATTCCTAGCAGCTTGCTACACTTTTCTCACTTGTCCAAAGCGAATCGACCTGTGACCTTTTGGTGTTCCCACTTGGGTCCATTTAGTTATGGGCCAAGGCTAGCCTTATTTCCAGGTTCTGTTTGGGGCCACTGAGTTTCAACAAAGACAACCTTGTATCCTATCAACGAACCACTCGTTCAACGACACCTTTTGGCAACTCAATGAAACTTGCAACAGCGACATCCCCTTAGCTTTTCAGCCTTTGAGTGGGTTTAGTGGTGGTGTCCATTTAACCCACTAAAAGGTAAACTTTTATTAGGGGATCTGAGGGCAGCCCAGTTGTGGGAAAGAATCGAAGTAAGGTACTTCAAATGCCGGGTGCTGGCGCTGGAGGAGCATCAGGGCTTCGGCTTCGCCGTGAAGAGTTCCTCGTCTCTGCCTGGCTTGGGGTGTTATCGTTAGGGCAAGCCCGGGGACCGGGCGAGCTTCAAAGGGAAATATCGGGACCCCGAGTTATTGACACTTTTTGGGCTTGCACTAACTTGGACCATGTCTGGTCTCACACACTCCTATGCTATTCTCAGGCAATGCAAATGCCTTGAAAAGCCGAACAAGGGTACTGAGCCTCAAGAAATAGACACCCTTCACGGTGGTTAGATTTCGCTCAGCCACTTAGATAGTTTTCTTTTCCATTCAAGCAGCGCCTTGGACTTTTGGTTCTACTGACATGGCCCTCAAGGCCTTGTCTCAAAGTGGAACCCACACGGAAATCGCAGATTTGGAGTTTTGGGCGTTCCGCTTTTTGCTTCTTCTCAAGTGGTTGGGCTCTATTTGGGTGGCTTCAACGGGACATCCAATGGAATCCACGTAAAAAAAGGCTCACAATTTTTCAGAAGCAATTTGGGTATTGGTTTCACGGCATCGGAAAGAGTTCCATACCTTCCTGATCACTTACATGGAACTCACCAGAGGATCCCTTTAAGGAACATCAGGTTCCATGTTAGTGGATGCAAGGGTATTAGAACTCATGGCCTTTTTGCAAGGACGGGAGGGGCTTTTAGCAATCTAAGACATGCCCTATAGTCCTGGCTCCTTCTGCACGCCATGGCTCGTGTCCTTCTCTGCTTGATTTACAAGGCGTCTAGTGACCCTACCAAGCCAGCAAAACGAATCTCAGATTTGTGTCCGACTTCGATTGAAAAGATTGGTGCCAGCCTCATGGGTGGTTTCCTGTGGCTCTGCCTTCAGCCAAGTGGATGTACACTTTTACATGAGCTGTGATTTTTGAGAGGTCGAACAAAAAGGGAAGTCAAAGGGACCACAGCAATTTGCCTCCCCTCCCAAAAAAAGAAGAAGCAAAAGACCAAAAGCAATAAAGACAGCTAAACACGACACATACCATACATACCCACATCCAGTGCTTTGGCCGTGAGCTCTAAGGTGCCCTAGAGGAGGTGGACACTGAGTTCGTGCTGGTGGTACAGCATCTCGACCAAGTGGCGGGCCTTTTGTGACATGGGATCCTAGCAAGCTACACACACTTCCCCCATGGTTTAGGCCTCCCCTTTTGCTTAAAGGGCATTTTGTGCCATCTAGTTTCACATTGGTGCATCTCCAGTGCGACAGCCTGCTTAATCATAAGTTCTGGGCAACATGAATTGTACTGTCGGGAGTTGGGCAACCTGAGGCGCTATTTGTTTCCTTCTTCTGTGGTGTTCATTCGTAATAAGGAATTTGTCATGATGTAGCAGGCCCAAAGACGAAAAAAGGGCTCAGACCAACTGAGGCATGATCAAGAGTTCATCGCTGCCTTCAACCTGCCTCAAGTGCTTAGTGCCATGACGCAGCACGAAGAGCTGAAGTATGTGGGGCTCAGTAGTGCCCTGGCAGTTGCAGAGTAGATTTGAGTGAGACATCGCATGCGGGGGGGAGAGGGTGCAAACCACAAACATGTTCAGTGCAGCGTAATGCGATCTGCATTGTTTATTTTGGCATGCACCTCATCCGCCCGCATCGGATGCGCCTTCATGCTGTTCACCGTGAGAGCTCCATGACTGGAGTCACGTGAGCCACGTGCTCAAAACCTGGGTAGATGAAGGTTCGTAAGGGGCAGTCCCGGCCGGAAATAGTTGCGGATATCTTTCTAATTCTTGAAGCATGGTTCTGGGTTCACCATTTTTGTACCGATCGGTTTTGAGCAAGTGACTCAGGTGTGTCAACCCTGAACTATGACAACATGGTGAGATCCAAGTTCGGCGTTGCCATCAGCCAGACCTTAGAATTCGGCATACCGCTGATGTCGCCTTGGCCGCATTTGCTTAGTTGTTTCGTTTCGTTCGATGGCGCCCAGAGAAAAAAATAGGTTCCGTTCCTTAGCCGTTTAGATTGTGGGTTTAGTGGTTGGGTTTCCGAATTTGAGCCACTCAAAGTTGGTCATTTTTGACAGGGGATTTGAGGACAGCCCTGCCTACAGCACGTCTCATGTCCTTGCGGCTGTGCATTTTGCCCACTTCTGGGCTTGGAATTCTGTTTGAGGCCGCTGATCTTCTTCTACGACAAGCCTCACATTTGCCGCACTGCGCACTATCGAGACTTGTTGGGGCCAGGCGACTTGTCGCATTTGAGGGGCATGAGCTGCGTGGCTTGGTCAGCTAGATGCCTTAGGACTTGGCTTGACCCAGTCCCAATTTGTTTCTTACCCGTTGGCCCAGTTTCTGTCCAGAAGGCACATTTCTTGCTGAATCCGGGCCGGACATCCGAATGCGCAAGCACTAGGGAGAGAGATGAGGTTCGGGCAAAAATGACAGGTAGTCCATGGTCTTTTGAGTGACACGGGGGGACGAGCTCGTTGTTTCAGCAAAACCAGGGACCAACCTCAATGTTCCCGGCGGTCACTAGGTGTGTCTTTTTGTGGGTCCCCGTTTGGTTTTGAAGGGCAAGAGCAAGCCAACTGTTTGTTTTTCTTCTATTGGTCCGTTGGGACCCGCCACTCCAAAGGTAAGCCAAGCATTTGGAGTTCCGCTTTGAGACAACGATTTGTCGACCGTGCCGAGGCTCCTTGGTGCGTAAGGGCGAGTTTATCGAGGAGACGCTGGGTGTGGCGCAGCGCGAGGACATTATCAAACACGGCCACTTGAGCAAGCATCAAAGCCAGGATGCAGGCTAAAGGGAGGTCCCAGCCAGACATGGGTGCGCCTGCCTTTGATGTCCTTACATGGATCTGGGTGGAGCATGTTAATGCTGATCGGTTTGGATTATGACCCACTTGGCAAAAGGCGATTCAATCTGCCTGTTTCATGGCATGGGGGTAAAACAAGCTCACCATAGGTCCTTTACTCATTTCAGGGTCCGGAATTCTGTCACAATTTGCCGATTCAATCAGAAGGCATGATTTACACTGTTTTTGGGGTTTGCTCCATTTTTGCTAGGGCAGACCAAATATGAAACCGAGTACGAACATGTGTTTTTGTTTGAGGTCGTTGCTTGGGGAATTAAAAACCTTTGGTTGTGGGGTAGGCTTGTGAGGGGTATGGTTGTTTGCGCGTATTGCTGTGGGGATGTTTTGAAGCACCTGATAGAATCCAAGATGTGTGCACCAAGCATTCTTGTTGCCCTGGTCGCGCCTCAAACTTGCATGTGTTCATTGTGGGCCCAAGATTTGCTGCAGCCCACCAGGGTGTGTCTCAATTATGTAGGATCACCCCCGAAAATAGGTGGATTCCCTTTATAAAACGGGAACCATAAAAGAAAGAGACACACGCGAGGATTAACACACCCGCCCCTCGGTTTTGTTTCAGCCGGGAAATACTACTGTTGTGTCGCTTTGTTCCTCGCATACCGAGGTATGGCCGCATGGCTGCACACTGGCGTGGGACGATTAGGTGGGGAATAGTCAGCAGGAGCCTTGATGGAAATCTGCTCCTTCTGGGATACGAATTCACGGTTTGGTGCGGCATGCCTGGCTATGTTTGGCGTGTTTGCGGCCTTTGTTTCAGGGCTCCATAATATCCCGATCTGCATTCCTGGCCCCGCAAAAATGATTATCCTCATGGGACATGAACCGCATGGTTGGGCCTTGGTGTAGGTGAATCCCTTTTTGGTTTGTTTAAACGAGAAACCAACACTTTGAGACTGATTTGAGGGTTCGCCGAAAAATCTTCCCTGGCTGGGCGCCCTTTTTTGCAGCTTGAGGATGCCCACGCCAAGTACGGCACTTTCCAGCTCGATTTCCGAGCCTCGGCAAAGGGCTTGGCCGACTTGGGTTGGGCTCTGCGCAGAGATTGGCTGGCACAGCTCCATCCTTTGGATCGGCTAGCTTGGGTAGAAGTAGATTTCGGTTCCACTGGTTGCCTAAGTCATCTTCCTGGGAATCCATCAACTTTCCATAAGCCTACCGGCCGTTCAAAGGCCTAAGGCAATGCGCCCTGGATTTGCAGTGCTTTTCAAATTGGGATGAATTATGGATTGGCCAACGCTTCATTTTGGACAGCCCAGATGGCAGCAGGGGGCAGTTTGCTGGGGTTCTTTCGGCCGAAGATGAAAGAACGGGCAAGAGCTGGCAGGTTGGAAGCAGAACTTGCTTTCCTCTCCGGCAATCATAGTTCAAAGGCTGTTTGTATGGTTTAGTTTGACCCCACGGCCATGTTGGACCCTTTGAAGGCCGAGTTTCCAATATCTAAGCCATAACTAATGGTCACGCAACCCAAAATCTAGCGGTTCATGCAGAGGTTCTTATGTGGACGTATACATTCAGCCTTTGAAAAGTCAGGTGCGTAGTTCGGATGTGGCGACCCAAGGTGACGAGTATGGAGGGCAATTTGCTGTCAGGAGCTTGGCCGGAGCGTGGCCTTCTTTTCAACTACTTGTTGGAATGCTGGTGTGTGTGTGTGTGGGTGTGTGCGTGTGTCCGTGTGTGTGTGTGTGCGCGTGTGTCTCACTCCCTGAGTTCATTGACTGTAAACTTTTTTGTTTGTGGTAAACACAAGGTTTGAACTGTTTTTGGCCAGTCCACTCAAAAGTGAGGTTTGTGTGCGTGTGTGCTAAGCAAGGGTATCCCAAGAACTGTGAGATTCTGTTTGGCTTTGCTTCGCATGGGAGTTTCTCAAAATGGTGGATCCCTCTTTGCTATTCAAAAGTTTTAATGGGAAACCAGAAAGAGCCATCCATCTTTTGGGATACCCTCCCACCAATTCGCATGGAACCTGACAGGGACCCGGCCCCTTTAAATGGACACTGGTTTTTTTCCAGGCCCCACCCCCCCACCCCGGACGTCAGGTTCCATGTCCATTGGTGGGAGGTACCCTGGATCGGACACTGAAGGTGGTGAGGCACCTCAACGGTCGCGCCTTCCTCTCGCCCGAGCAGCGAGTGGCCAGGGGATGGACCGCCACACTCCGCTTCGCCGCTTGAAAAACAGCAAGATGCGCGCTGAGCAAGATGCGCCTGACATCGCCTGTTATGGAAGACGCTACAGATGGGTGAAGGGGTAGATGGCACTCCAAGCCATCTTGGTTTCATCACCTTCACGCACCACGTGAGAGTTGTGGCATCCACTTTCACCCTGGTGCAGGTGTCCGTTTTGGCCACTGCAGAATGGATGTGCTGAAGCCACGCCATGAAGCCACCAACTCCCTGCCTGGTCTTGGATGCCCCAATCCACTTGGCCAATTTCAGGCCCCTCCTTATATTTGGCTGTGGGTCAACCTGCGGTCCAAATCCTGGTGCTTTAAAAATCACCCATTTGGTTGTTCCTAGCTTCCCAATGGGCTTCATCGTGGGTATGATGAAAGCTCGGAAGTTGGGCGCCCGGGGAATCCGATAGCTGTTTTGGCCCAAGCGTCTCTGGGTGATGTCTACACCCGAACTGGAACCAGGGGAGGCGCGGCAGTGACTCAAGGAGCACTGTTGACCCTATATACATTTCAACCCCAGTTTATGAATAGGGGGCTGGTTTTTGGCCCCTCCAAAAAAGTGGCATGATTCCCCACTAAACTCAGGGACACCCCCCTATTTGCCAAACAGGGGTTGATTAGTATGTGGTCAACATTGAACAAGGCCCTGGCTCTTTTGCCAACAGGAGAGAGCTGCGGCATTCACCCAAAGCATGTGCCTTCGAAATGGCTTAGGTTTTCTGTCCGTAGACTGGTTTCATGAAGGGAGCTGAAATCGTGCCAGCAGAGTGTGTCAGAGGGAGAGCCGGACGTCCTGGAGACACAGCAAATCCACCCAACTTCCAACAGCTTCGCATACCATCCTTGAGCAACGGACAAGTGCGCTTGGAGATCCGAGCTATGCACATCTCTTACAATATAAGCCCCGAATATTGCTGCGGTAAAGAACAATTCACTGCCATTTGCATAGTGGAAAATCGGCTGAGCCCTCAATTCCCCAAACCAGGGGGACTAGCCCGAAATTTCGAGGCCACGTATGCTTGGAGCCTGCATAACATGGGCCAGATGCGCGTTCCCGACAGGTGTGCCCCAGGCGTTTTGGCCTGAACTATGACCCACCGGCCATCATCCTCGAGTATCTCGAGGCGATGGGCACCTGCAATCTCACTCCTTACCCATCCGGTTCCTTAGCGTTTTAGTTTACTAGTGTATAGTGGGGTTTTCCATTTAGCCCACTAAAAGCTAAACTTTCCGCGGGGGATCTGAGGACAGCTCAGACTTGAGCCTTTTTTTGGGCGGACGTGAGGCTCGTGAGGACATCTTCTGTTTCAGATAGCAAACTGAGCCGGGCAAGCCGGGCGTCGGCTGGCCAGGTGAGCACTGGAAAGCTGTTCCACCGAAAGGCCCGGAACTCGGCTCGTGGGAAAAAGCGAATCCCCAGGAAACACCCCAGGACCACGTTGAGGACTCATAGCGGCGTGCGAAATCCGCTTCTGGCGCCAAACCACAATACCGCAATGCTGCTTGTGATGGCATTTACCTGCAGGGGAATGAACCGTTTCATTCCGTGGGGTTTCTTTTGGTGCGACATGGGTTTCGTCCATCCACAGCAGGGAACCCGAAGAAACTCTCGGCTCTCCCCCCCGCCCGTAACATACCTACGCCCCCGGATGGGATTCTTTTTATAACGCCATAAGCTGTCGGGCATTGGCCGCGGAACCTCCAAGCCGAAAGACGATTTTCTTTTCATTCCCAAACCCCAAGCAAGAAGCAGTCCTGGGGGGGGGTTGCTGGTTGGCGTGTCTCTCTAGGTGCTTGTGTAAGGCCAGCCACCGATTTTGTTTGGGCGAATAGGGACGTCAGGGGAGGGCTGGCGACGTCACCCATCATGAAGGTTAAGGTTTTAAAATCAATCATTCATTCAGCAGTTTCCTGGTTGTCTTATTTGGGAGGGGGAAGAAGTGGGGACTCGCAAAGTGTCCCATGCCTGGGGAACAAGTGTTTTTTGGCCGCGCGAAAAACAATCGGAATTTCATTGCAGAGCGTCATGTTTTCAAAAAACAAACTACAGCAAAATAGGGCCTGGGGCCCACCTTTTGTGTGCCCATCGGCGTTCGCATAGGTGTCCTTTTGATCGGCTAGTTTGATGCTTTAGATGGGTCTGATGCCCCGTTTACCAGGGCAACCCATCGATTTTGCCAAAAGAAGACGTATGACATGGTGTTATTTTTTGTCGTAGTTCTGTTTCAGTATGGATTTCAGATTAGGGATTCCCCCAAATGTTGAGCAACCCAGTTTGTCTTGCTGGTGCTCAGGAAATGAGGGAATGAACCTGAAGATAGGGTATGGTTTCAACCATGGTCTCATTTCGTGGTGCGAAATGGAGTAAAAGGGCAACACGTGGAAAAGGACAAGCAATCCAGGCTCCCTGAAGAATGGGTTTGGTTTCAATCATGGTAGGGTTATCCCATGTTCTTCCCTTAAGCCGTTTTGACTCCACCCTCAATCCGCCAGCCATCCGCCCCGAGGTGGGCCTCAAGCGGCTCCGCGCCGGCACGGACCCCGCGCGCGTGGCCGAGAAGCTGCGGCAGAGCAATCGGCCGCTGCTCACGGAGGACCGGCGGGCGGGCGGCAAGCCGCGGCTTGAGCCGAGGGCGCGAGGCGTCCGGTGTCGCGTTTGTGGGGCTTGGCTCAAATTGGGGAAGCCCTCAGAACCATATTATGTAACTATGTATGTTTATACCAATGTTAATGTATACGTATGTTATACATACAATATATGGAGCGGACGAAACCCTTTACTTGGCCTTAGTACTTTTTTTAACGTCATCGTTTTTGGGGGAGACCTCATCGTTTTACAGTGTTTTCGCACGCCGCATCTTTTTCGTATGCCGCTGCCACTACTCACTGTCACTGACGTTGCCTTCACCGCTGTCGCTACTACTACTACTGCTGCTGCTGCTGCTGGCGTCGTTGTCCGGGTTGGAGGTTTGCAGGTCCTTGGCCTTTCGCCGCTGCCTTCTGGCCATAAAAGCTTCACGCTTCTGCTGTAGCTCTTCGTCTGTCGGTGGGGCACGGTGGCGCAATCTGGAGGTGTTGGGTAGCAGCTTTTCTTGGGCACGTTGGCGCAAGGTCAAAACAGTTTCCTGCGTAGGCTTCAGTGCTCGCGGATCAGTGTTCCAAGTAGCCTCGCCAGCTCCATAGTAGCCTCTGCGCCAATCGCCGAGCTCGGCCATATCCTCATGGTACAAGTTGGAGGTGAGATCCACTCCAGTAGTTTGAGGACTGAAGACATAGTTTGTGACGTTGACACCGTATCGAAAAGCTTTGCTGGTTGCTGGCTTTGCGCCAATGCAATATGTGCGGGTGATGTGGAAATCCGACGCCAGCAATCGCTTGCCAGGCGGTGGCTTGGTAGATTCATCATGCACGACCACGATCCGGCTAGAAGGGTCTGAAAACTTGTGCGAAGCGCCTTCCTTGTTGACTACATCCACAAGCTGTTCCAGAGTGTGAATTACAGCCCCATTTGTCTTTGCCCGCCTCAGCCAAGTATTCAGCCAGCCAAACATGCGGTCGCATGCTTTTTTCATGTGCTTCTCCACGCCCCAGTGGCAGAAGCAAGGAGCACCAAACTTTCCCGGGAGTTCGACCAGGTGGTGGTAGAGCGACTCATAGCTTCGAAAATGGAGCCCAGCATCGGCCACAATGTGGATAGCGCTGGGGCGTGCAACGCCGAGCCTTTTGCCCAAGCACACATCAATCAGCTGGTTTGCTCGCAAGGCAGTATGATCCAGAATGCTGGAAAAGACGAGAATGTAGGAATGCTGCACAATGGGCTCTTTCCCTGCGTCCCCCGGCAAGCTTTCCACCAAAACTCCGCCAAACGTGCAGACTTCAAAGCGGCCAGTTGCATAGAACATCTCTCCTGTTTGCACATTGCTGATTGGGAGAGTCATCAACTCTTTGAAATCCACGAGTAGGGCCACGTGGCCTGCAGGCGGCTTCGCCAGCAAAGCGTCCAGGTGGGCACCCTGATGGGCGTTTGCCGCTCGGTGGAACAAGTAGCTGTCGAGGAGCTTCTGCGTGTTCTTCATCTTGTACTCCAGAGCCGCCTCTTCCACGTGCAGGTCGACACGGCGCGCCTGGTTGAAGCCACTACCACGTTGGCGCAAGCGGAGCATTCCGCATGGAAAGTCCGAGCCCCTGTGTTCTCGACAAGGGGCTGCGCAGCTGTGCTTCCCCACAAAGTGCCTGAACAACTGCAAACGCAGACCCGGCCGATGCTGCAGCTCATGCGCGGCTTCATATGGAACCCATGCTTCGAAGTAGCCAGGCAAGAATCCTTGGAGCTTCTCCTTTGTGCGAGCCATCAGCCGGTCCGCCCGCGGCAGGATTTTGGAATCCAAGTCATGACAATACTGGCAATAGTCGCTCTTGCACTGTGGGTTTTTATACTCGTTGCAGTGTTCTCGAATGATGCGACGCATGGTTCGGGCAGACATGGCCGCTTGCAAGTCCGCGCTCTCGGCGTAGATTACCTGCTGCTGCTTCGTCAGCGTCTGGCTGACCACGAGCTCTTTGGAGTCCTTCTTCACACACAGGTTTGACGAGGGGGCGCTGTTCTGCTGAAGCTGCGCCTTCACCATCTCCACGAGATCCGGCTGACGGACTTTACTGGGGCGCCCACCACGATCCCGAGGCGTGTCGCCATATTGTTCAGCACGACGCCATCGACTTGAACCCATCATGTAGCCAAGCTCTCGGCAACGTTGCTGGTGGCCAAAAGCTTCTCGCATCGCTGCATCAACATGGTCACGGACAGGCTGCAGAGCTGCCGAGCAGCTGGTGTTAGCAAATCCCGGCGTCCGCGCCAGCGCCGCGCCCAGAGCGCTGCATCGACCGCATTCGTCCAAGACCTGTGCTCCAGCAGCTGCAAGGCCGAACTTGCGCAAAAACCCAGGCCACTTGTGGTCAAAGTCCTTCAGCACCGGCATAAGAGCCTCCATGGTGGCATCTGGGGTGGGTGCCTTGTCTAGAACGGCTCTCACATGTCGTCGGGCTTTCTTCTTGTGCCACTTCCGAGGCAGCCACAGTCTGGGGCGAAGCTTCTTCTGCTTGGCAGGCGCAGACTTCTTGGCCGATTTCCGCTTGGCTCGGATCGGCGCCGCCTCCTTTGCGGGCATGGGCTGCGCTAGAGCCTTGGGACCAGCGGGCCCTGCCACAGAAGAACTCGCAGTAGAAGTTGACAAAGGCTCCGCTGCGGCGCTCTCGTAGTACTTCGTCCGATCGGCGCTTGTCAGCTTGCTCCATAGTTCTCTGACAATTACTGGTCGGATGAAGTCCCTCTGCGCGTGTGTGTCAGCAACACACCCTCGGCATCCTTGCCCCGGAGACGCCCAGCCACTGGCTTCCCTGGCCTTGCTTCTTGGGCGCGGGCGATCAGAGGAGGGCCCAAATCTGGGTGCCTGAGTACCTCCTCCACATACTTGTAGGTCGCTCTCTTGTCTGCAGCGGTGAAAGGCATGCGTTGTGAGAAAGTGAAACCGGAAGTTCTTCTGCTGCTAACTAGGTGTCCGAGGTTCTGCTCTGTAACTTGGGCACGTTGCTGCTGCTGTTGTTTGCTGTTGTTTTCTTTTGGCTAAGTAGGGGAACTGGGCATGTGTCCACATGACCGTCTTTTTTGTCCAAACTGGCATCGTTTAGTTATCGGTTTGGTCATCGGTTTGAAGCCCGGGAACTTTCTGGAGCCAAAGGGGCGCCCAAAAGGAATTGGCAAAGGCACGGCTTGCATCTCAAACGGGGTACTCTTTTTTGGCTGGCTTCAAAGAACCCCAAACTACAGATTATCTCTGCTAATCACAGCGCCCCTTTTACGACACCCTTTCCGCGGTGCTGCTTCAAAAGGGTCAGACCCCAGCCCGAGAACTGAGAAGTTCTTTCACTACCCCAGCCAAGTGTTGGCACTTGGCCCCCCAAGCCAAAAAAAAACGCTCAAAGCTGCATGCATTCGCAGCACTGACAATCATCTTGATTGGCGCTGCGCAGCTCATGCCGAATCTGCAATGCTTGGCACTTCACTGTGCGCAGAGCAGCCGGCACAGATTTTAAAATTGTCAGACTGCGTGTGCATTTCAACACCTGAGTGCTGCGCCAGCAGCTGTAACACATGGAGCCAGTCGTCTTTATCTGGCCCTTCAATGTCAATTTGGTACACCATTTTGCAGTGTGCCGGCGGATGCCGCAAATTTGACAACTGGGAACCTGAATCTTACCATACAGCTGTCCCTCACTGTTCCCTTGGCCCGCCAAGCCGTGCAAGAGCACAGCTTCCCGGAGCTGATCAGCTGCAACTTCAGAAAACCCGATATTGACTGAGGTTTTGCCCCGCAGCCTCTTCTCATGCATTCCCAGCTGCGGTGAATCAACATCTGCAGCATTCTCGGGACACGGGCGCTTGCACGGAGTGACCACAGGCGAGCTTTCCGCGGAAACAGTAGGAGCGGGAGCTGCAGCAGGCACTCCTTGAGGAAGCGGTTCCTGGGCCGCGGGCGACGACCGAACAAGCCGACACACACGCACACAAAAAACAAGAACAAAACACAGCGACAGCCAAAGCAACACAAACACAACCACAACACAGGACGACGCAACACCACACAGGACAAACACACACACACACACACACACACACACACACACACACACACACACACACACACACACACACACACACACACACACACACACACACACACACACACACACACACACACACACACACACACACACACACACACACACACACACACACACACACACACACACACACACACACACACACACACACACACACACACACACACACACACACACACACACACACACACACACACACACA